ACTAAATTTTGAAATTCAACAAAACTTTCAAATTTTCCAATTTGTTACAATAAATTTCTAAGTAAAAATAAATTTCCAAATTTGCAAATTTATTTTAACAAATTTACAAATTCAAATAAAATGTAAAAGTTTTAAATTTATTAAAATAAATTTCCAAATTTATTGTAATAAATTTTTAAATTAAAATAAACTTTTAAATTTTCCAATTTGTTAAAATAAATTTCTAAATTTTTGTAAAATTTATGAAAATAAATTTCCAAATTAGCAAATTTATTTTAACAAATTTCCAAAACGAACTAAACTTTCGAAACTTCAAATTTGTTAGAATAAATTTCCAAATTAAAATAAACTTCCAAAGTTGAAATTTTTGAAAAATAAATTTTGGAAATTTGAGTTTTGAAAATTTTTGAAAATAAATTTGCAAATTAGAAAATTTTAAATAAATTCTCAAATTTGAAAATTTAAAGCAAATTTTCCAACTAATTACAATAAATTTCCAAATTAATGCATTCATTTACATGCTTCGAAGACAATATTTAATAAAAATTAATTTTTAAACAAACTAAACATAAATTAATTTTTCTGACATCGAAATAAATAAACAAACGAACATTTCAATCAAGACGACAATAATAAATACTTCACAATTTAAATACAAATCCAAACGAAGAATATCACTATTTAAAAAACAATTTTTCTCTTGTCAATATTGTCAGCAGATAAATAACCTTACAACCAATATTAAATAAAAAAAAAAGTAGTGGGCAGAGCAATGCAGCAGACAGAATTTCTCAAAAAAAAAAAACAAAAAAAGAATCAGAAATAAAACCAAACTGACATAAAAGCTAAAAAATATTTAGCGAATCGTGAATTTATAGTTTCGAATAAAAACGTTCATTCTCTTCGTAAAAATGGAATGATATACCAGTCAACATGTTTTTTTTTCATTTTTTTTTTCGTTTTTTTTTCATCTTTATAAGTAAACCGTCAACAAGGGTAATTGCACCCAAAGAGGACCCTATTAAAATACAAGAGGACAATACATAGAATCTCATTATTCATAATTGATGATACAAAAATTTTTCAATTTTCTTTTCTCTTTTTTTTCCATACACACGCAATTGATTTATGTTTTATCCCCTTATTACTTTTAAAGAGTGTCACGTGCACCTACTTCAGAGATAATATTGCAGAATAGACAATGCATTTTTTTTATACACCTAGACTTGCATTTTTTTTTTTTAATATAGTGAAATGATTTAATTTCGTGTAGTGTCAAATATTTTCTACAATTTACATAATTACATAATTTGACCTTCTATAACTTCTTAAAAATTATTTTTCTTAAGGCAGGTTCGACAAAAGAAAACAAAAAGTTTTTTTCTTTTATAGGAGCAACATTATTGCTGAATGGAATATTATTTATAATATATATTTATATGCTCTTATAATTTAGTGATCTTTGGCAAAGCGTTTAAACAAAAAAAAAAATTTGTTTTGTCAATTACAATTCTTTTTTTTCTTACGTTTTGACGGTTAAAACATTGAATCCCTTTTCTTTTCTTGGATGATTCTTGTGCTTTACAATTAATCTCATTTTTACAAACAACTTTTCGCCAATGAACAATTTTTTTTTCTAAGATTTTTTTCTTTTGCATTCAAATTTTATAATTTAAAGAGTAAAAATGCTGAACATCTTTTTCAATTCATTTACATTCACTTATATTCTCATTTATAGTTTATAAATAATAATTACGAAATTTAAATTTCGTTGGAGAGAAAATTTTCATTTTCTTTCTTTTTTTTTCTGCAACACTCTCGAGTTTGAATATTTCATGAAAATAAAATATTTATTTCCATCAGTTAAATTAACATACATTAAAATAAAATTATCAATTAAAATTTCATTGAGAATAGAGTGAAATTAAAATTTCAGTGTCAGTGAGAATTGAATTTTTTATGTTGAGCAAAATTACAAAACTTCCATAATTTTCACAAGTTTCATTAAAAATTTTATTGCAACTTATTTTGTAATGAAAGTTAATTGTCTTCCTATTATTTTATATGATTTTACAATAATGATGATAATAATCATTATTTATATTCACGTATATAATAATGTTTATTATTATCACTTCAAGTGATTATTGAATTAATTATTTTCGTTTGAGTTGTTGGCCGTTTAAGTACGTTCACTATTTATATATTTATAATATATACTTTCTACTTTTTATCTATAATGAAAGTGACTGGTAGTCAATTGTATTTTATAAAATTTAGTTCAGTTCTTTTGAAATATTTTCAATAATTTGTTTTTTCTACTAAATGCTTTAATTTCTTCTAGATATAGTCATCTAGTTACCACTATTTTTTTTACGTTAAAAAGACATCTTTAAACTTTTTCTAAACATCTTCCTTTTATATATAATATGATGAATTAAAAATTAAATTAAAAATTAAAATAAAAATTTTAATAAAAATTAAAAAATAGGATTATCAACTAATTTGAAAAAAAATCATAAACTACTTATTTTAGGAATATTTAGAAAGACGTAAATAAAATAAAACTATTAACTAATTTCTAAACTGAATTTGAAAAATGAAAGCATTTTTTTTGGTATCAATTAAATTATTATTAAATTTGTTTGTAAACTTATTACTGATGATTATAATCACAAGTGCATTTTTTATTGCACTGCACTAGAATTTTTCATCAACCAAATTCTTGGTTTTTCTTTTTTTTTTCTTTCTAAATTTTTGTGTATAATCTGGGCAATATGTAAAGCTTGCGAAAAAAAATTTACAAATATATTTCTTGATGCATTAAAATTTACAAAGTCAATTACAACAAACAAACAACAAAAGAAAAAGGGATTTTTATTGAAATGAATTTACCTTCCGGGCACTTTTACATATATTTTCAATTCTAAAATAGAAAAAAAAATTTTATATTTTTTCTCTTCTTTTTCTAAACAAGGAAATTTTTCGATTTATTATTTATAAATTATTGTTAATTATGAAAAATTATTAAAAATGATATTTGTAGATTTAAAAATGTTTATAATTTCAGGACAAAGCTGATATAATACTGATAAAAAACATGGACAAAAATACCCGTAGATTATAAATATTTTTAAATCCATTAAAAATTTACAAAAAAAACACTTCAGTTTGAAAATTCGAAGTCAATTTTTAATAAATATCCAAATTGATTGACGTTTTAAATACTTTATTGTTTTCGAAATCTAAATTTGATAAATTTAAATTTAAAAAAGAGAAATTAATAAATAATTTCTCTTTCTGAAAATTATTCTCATCAGAATATTCCTCTATGACATTTTAATATTCTCTTGTTCTTCAATTTTAAATTAAAACATTTTTGTTCAAATTTATAAATGAAAAATTAATAATTAACTTCTCTTTTTTTCGAAAATTATTTTCATCAGATTTCGCTATGTGATTTTAAATATTCTGTTTTCGAATTCTAAATTTTAGAAATTCAAAATTAAAACAGAAGTTAATAATTAACTTCTCCTTCACTATAACTTCTCTTTCCTTTTGGAAATTAATCTTCATCAGAATATTTCTCTATCACATTAAAAAACAAAAAAAATATTTCAATTTTCTTTTATCTTCGAATTCTCTAAATTCAAAAAATTCAAATTTAAAAAACAGATCCTAAATAATTTTCTTTTTTTTAAAATTATTTTCATTAAATTTCGTTATGAAATTTAAAGTTTTCTTTTATTTTCAAATTCTAAATTTGAAAAATTTAAATTTAAAAAAGCGAAATTAACAATTAATTTCTCATATTTTCAAGCTAATTTCTCTTCTTAATAATTAATTGATTTTCTTCCCAAAAAAAAGAAAAAAAAAATATTGAAAGCAACAAAAATTGACTCTCACTGAGTTCAAAAAAAGAAAATAATTGATTTTTTAGCAAAGAATGTTATTAAAATTTTTAAAAATAATTGAATTTTTGCGGAGAATTTTATTAAAATTTAATTGAAAATAATTGAATTCCTGTAAAAATTTTATTATTTATAAAAATAATTGAATATTTGCGAAGAATATTTTTATTTAAAAAAATAATTGAATTTTTGCAAAGAAATTTTATTAACATTAATGAAAATAATTGAATTCCTGAATTGAATTTTATTAAAATTTTGGAAAATAATTCAATTCTTGCAAGTGATTCTATTATTTACAAATAAAAATTGAATTCAAATTCTTGGGAAGAAATATTTCAATAAGAATTTTTAAGAATTATTAAATTCCTGCGAAAAATTCTCATATTTTAAAAAATAATTGAATTCTTGCGAAGAATTTTATTAAAGTTTTGAAAATAATTAATTTCTTGGTAAGAATTTTTATAGAAATTTTTAAAAATAATTGAATTCTTGCAAGTAATTCTATTATTTATAAAAATAATTGAATTGTCTCCAAAAAATTATTGAAATTTTTCCGAAAATAATTGAATTCTCGGGAAGAATTATTTTACTAAGAATTTGAAACATTCGAAAAGGAGAAAGAACAAGAATCTTTAAATATTCTTTCATTTTCGAATTCTTAATTTAAAATTTTTAAATTTATCAAATTCAAATTATCTTCTCTTTTTTTCGAAAATTATTTTCTTTAGATTTAATTCAATTTAATTAATTTATTTAAATTAATTTAATTTTAATTATTGTTTCCGACTTTTACATTTGAAAAATTCAAATTTAAAAAAGAGGTTAATAATTAATTTCCCCTCGTTTTTAAATTAATTTTAGAAAAATTATGTTCCTTTACAAAATTGAAGAGAAAAAATACTGAAAGCTAGAAAAATCAACTCCCACCGTTTTCGAGAAGAAGAAAAAGTGCCTATAAAGTAAATTCACTTCAAAAGTAGACTAATTTTTTCAACACTTCCACCCTCATTCAAATAGAACTCTACTAATGCAATGGGTTTTAGGGAAAAGAAAATTAATAAGAATCAAATCTTCGCATGACTCTACTAATAAGAAAAAATAGAAAATGGGAAGAAATATAGACAAAAATAATAACTAATCAGGGATATAAAAATAATAAAAAAAGCATTTTGCCAAATGTAACAATATTTTAACTCGTACGCTTAAAAAAAAGAAATACTATATCCTATTTTAGCCAATTAAAAATGAGTTAGTCCATTAATCGCGGACAATTGTCTTTAAAAATAATAACGTTACACACCACCCATGGCAACAGTAGAAAATTCAGTCTTTAAAATATTTTTTATGCAAGACTTATTTATATTATCGAATTAAGTCTATTCGTGTGTGTATAAAGTGTATGAAGTGTATGTATGTAAGTATGTATGTATGTACGCGTGTTTACCTTCAATTTAAATCGATGATTATACAATTTTTTTTTTTTTTTGTTGAGAAATGCGCAAGGAGAATGTTTTTTTTTTTTTTACTTTTTTTATGATATTATTTAATTTCTACCCTACCTGGACTATGATCGATAAATGAAACTGCAAGGTGGTACAGGTGGAGGTGATGATCCACTCATTGCAATTGGGACAAGGGTTGGTGATGGTGACGAGGAGGGAGGAGAAGGGGAACTGGAAGAATCACTTGTAGGCGGTGAGGGTGATTCCAGTGCCCTCGGTCCAGCCAATTCTCCAGTAGATTGACCCCCTGATGTCACGGCGCGACATCTACTTGTTGTCGCATTGTGACGATTTCGCGTTGGCCGCCCCAAACTTCGGTGACGACCACCACCTCCTCCTCCCTCCTCGCTCGTTTCTCAGAGATAGACCTTCTTCACGCTGCGAGTTGTCGCAAATCCATCGTTACGTCTATAAGCGTCGCCTTGATGTGAGCGTAATGTGCCAAAATTATCGCGCGGACCACGAAAGCCATAGCCCTCGGGAAATTGGAATAATGTCTCCGCTGGTGTTGGCGGTGGTTTTCTCATTGTACCCTTTGGCGAATGTAATTTGGGAGGTTGAGGCACCAGGACAGGTTCGGCGTACGTCACTTCCTCCTGTGGCAGTAATTTTGGCTCGGGCGCCAGTCTACTGAAAGCAAACATTCAAACAAAATGTTTTAAATATTTTCAATTTCAATTAATTAAGAGTACTCATTCAATTTAATGAACAGCAAATTCTGAACGTTAAAATGAATGAAATACATTTTTACTAACACTTTTTAGATTAAAAATTTAATTTTCTTTTTCCCTGACATTTTTTTTTTTATTTACGGACAAAATTTTGACTATTTCCCTATAAAGAATAAATTAACCCTAAAAATAATTAGATAAAAAAAAGGGTTCTATTGGATTCATTTACGAATTTCTTTAATTGGAAAATTATTCGAAAACATCAAGAACTTCTTTTTTAAATAAATATTTCATCATTATTATTTTTCCATAGGAATTAAAATTCTTCAAAAGATTCAAATTCAAACCTTCTTGAAATTCAACAACTTGTAAGAATATTATTATAAAACAAGAAGAAATCGATCATTCCGAGTCTTCAACTTATTTTCTAGAATTTTTAACCGCAGAATTCTTCTTTAAATTAATTATTTTTAATAATTTTTGAAAAAGTTCTTTGAGAATTTTCAAATTCAATTTGTTTACAATTCAATTTTAAGAAATTTCGATTATTCGGAAATTCTTCAATTACAAAATATTTATAAGAAAGTAAAAAAGCTACAAATAATTTCAAAAATTATTCAATTCAACTTTTCCAAAAAAAATTAATTCTATACAGAATTCTTAGATAAAAGTAGGAAAAATTCAGTTTTTCAAAGATTTTAATTTGAAATCATTCAAAATTCAATTGTTTCTAAAAATTCACGCAATAATGCTTTCAAGATTCAATTATTATCTAAAATTTCAACTAAAATTCATTTTTAAATACATTTTTATAAGACAATTCTACGAGAATTCAATTATTTAAATACAAAAATAAATAATGTAATGTTTTAAAAAATTGAATTTTCATAAAGAATTTTATTTTATCAACAAATTTTTAAATAATTGAATTCTTTCGATAAATTTCAATAACATTTTTTAAAATAATTACATTTTTCGAGGAAATGATTTAAAATTATATTCAAAAATATCTGAAAACCTGGTAAGAATTTTATTATATTAAAAATAATTGAAATCCTGCGAAGAATAATTATTATTTATGAAAAGAATTAAATTCTTGCAACAAATTTTATTAATTTATATTTCAAATACCTAATTGAATTCCTGTGAAAAATTTTATTATTTGTAAAAATTATTTAAATCTTGAGAAAAATTTTATTAAAAATTTTTGAAAATAATGAAATTCTTTTGTGGAATTCAATTAAAATTGTATTAAAAATAATAATTGAATTCTTATATAAAAAGTTTTAAAAGTAATTGAATTCTTCTGAAGAATTTTATTGTTAATGAAAATAATTGAATTCCTGGAATTTTTTAGACGAATTTAATTAAAATTGTTTTCCTAAAAAAAATTTTATTATTTATAAAAATAATTGAATTATTGCGATGAAATTTATAGAAAATTTGTAAATAATTAAATTTCTGTAAAATTTTTATTATTTATGAAAATCATTAAATGTTTGCGTGGTATTTTATTAAATTTTTGTTTTAAATAATTGAATTTTTTTGAAAAATTTGATTAACATATTAAATGTTTAAAATCATTGAATTTAGGAAAATTTTTGAAAATAATTGAAATTTTCCAAAAATTTTATTGAAGGTTTTGAAAATAATTGAATTTAAAAGAATAATTTTATTATTTACGAAGATAATTAAAAATAATTGAATTTTGAAGAAGAATTTTATTATTTACAAAGATAATTGAAAATCATTGAATTTTTGTGAAAACTTTTAAGATAAGAATTTGAAAATAATTGAATTCCTTCGGAGGATTTTATAAAAAATTCTGAAAATAATTGAATTCTCTCAAAGAATTTTTTATTAATGAAAAAATCGGATTCTTTCAAAGAACGTTATAAAAATTTTTGAAAACAATTTAAATATTGGCTAAAATTTTTTAAATAATTAGTTTTGCAAAATTAAATTAAATCTTTTTGAAAATAATGGAATTTTGGAAATAATTTTAATTGAAAATATTGAAGATAATTGAATTTTATGAGGAATTTATTTTAAATGTTTAAAATAATTGTGTTTATTAATAATAATAATTAATAATTTTATTGTAAAATTTTATTCATTTTATTGATAAAAAATTTAATTATTTTAAACAATTTTATTTTATTAGAGTTTTCGTACACAATTAAAATTTTTAAAGAATTTCTTGAAAATAATACCTAAAGTTTTTTTTAAATAATTTTAATTAAAAATTTTGAGAATAATTGAAATTTAAAAAGAATTTTATCAAAACATTTGACAATAATAGAATTTTTATGGAAAAATTTTATTACAATTTTGAAAAATAATTGTTCCCGTTCGAGAAATCTTATTAAAATTGAATTGAAAATAATTGAATTCCTAAGAAGAATTTTATTATATTTATAAAAATAATTTAATTCATGAGAAGAATTGTATTATTTGAATGAAAATAATTGAATTCTTTCGAGACATATTCTTAAAATTGTATTGAAAATAATTTCTGCAAAGAATTTGATTACTTACGCAAATAATTAAATTCTTTGGGAAATTTTATTAAAAATGTATTTAAATAACTGATTTTCTGCAAAGAATTTTATTATTGATGAAAATGTCTGAATTTATGAAAATAATCCAATTCTTTCGAGAAATTTGAATAAAATTATATTTTAATAAAATTCTATTGAAAATAATTAAATTGTAGAAAGAAATTTGATTATTTATAAAAACAATTGAATTGCGACGAAGAATTTTATTGAAAATTTTAAAATAATAAATAATAATTAATTAATAAATTACTTAATATATAACATTTTTAAAATTTTAAATCTGAAATTATTCAAAAGAAAGTTGATATTTGAAAATACAAACTTTTGTAATTTGCACAATCTTATATTTTTTACTAACAATGAAAATTCGTTAAAAATTCATTAACTGAGAATTCAGTGAAATAGAAAATTCAGCTTCTGAAAAGTTCATCTTGATGGAAATTCAAACAATTTATTTCAAATTTCTTTTTAATAATTCTCCCAAGTTAATAAAAATTTCGCTGAACTGAAAAAAAAATCTCTTAAAAAATGTATATTCCCGTTTCCATTAAATGAAAATTCCCTTTAATGAAAACTTTCAGTTACATAAAGATTTAGCTAAATTTAAATTCAACTGAACAAAAATTTCATTACGCAGTTATTTTGTTCCATTAAAATGGTGTTGAATTTAAATTTGGATAGTTAAACATTTTATTGCATGAAAAATTTAGTGAACTCAAGTGTCTTTAATAATAACTGCAGTAAATTAAAAAATCATATTGAATAATTAAATTCATGTTTGTTCCTAAATAAGACTTCGTTGCAATTAAGAATTAAAAAATTCTATTGAATTTAATTAAAAAATCCTATAGAATAATTAAATATTTTTGTCCCCAAATAAAGCTTCGCTTTGTACTTAAAAATTAAAAAATTCGATTTATTCGAAAATCGAACCAACGAGCTCTTGGGAATACAATTTTTTTAAACAGTTTAAATAAATAAGTAAACGAATAATCATGTGCTCCATATAATTATCATGAAAAACATTTTCAGGTCTTTTTCTTAAAAAAAACATCTCTGGTTTCTAATTAAAACTATTCATCACTTGAAATAATAGAAAGTTAACTTCTATGACAAAAATATCATCAGGGTTCATTCTTTTTATTTTATTAAAAAGTAGGTGAAAAGGTGAATTATTTTTAGAAAATAGAATAATAAAAATATGACAAAAAATGTTTCCAAAAAAAATATCGATTAAATTATCTAATTAATTAACAAGTTAACTAATTTGCATCAATTTAATTTTCATCTTTATTAATAATTCAAATTTTTATATTTCAAAATTGGAATAATTGAACATCTGTATAGATTAATTAAAATTAGAATGAATTTTAATGTCGACTCATTAAAATTCTAATCAAGAAATATTTTAAGAGTAATAATAATAAATTCAAAATTAGATCAATTTTTTTTTTGCTAGTGAATTATTCTTTAACTTTCCTGAGCTTCCTTATGTTTTTTGCATTGTAAATTTAACAATTTTCGAAGAATATTAAATCCAAAAATTAATCGAAAGATGAAAAAAAATTAATAAAAAAAAAAAATAAACCCAAGATTATGAAATACTTTCAAAATTAAATAAAAAGAGAATTTTCAAAACACAGACATCTAAATCTATGACAGAAAAAAAATCAAAACTGACATTTAACACCCACTATGAAAATGGAAACTTTCAACTATAACCATTGAAATGTTTTTCCGATTTTTCGCAAAAATTGAAATATGAAAGAAGAAAAAAAACACAGTGTCATAACATCGAAACATACCTGTTTACATTTTGGCGTTGCTCAAAATATTCGTATTCAGTATCTGGATACGGTAAATTATCATCTTCATCCTTTCTACACTTTCGACCGCATAAATAACCCGTAACAAAGCCAACGAATAGTGCAGACAATGCACCAGCAACCACTGCCATTACTAAAGTTTCGACAGAATATTGTGGCGGTGGAGAATCCGCTGCTGATACTTCCGGTCCTAAAATAAATAAACATTAAAGTGATATGTCAAATTATGAACACATAATAACAATAAATAATAAAAAATACAATAAACCAGGGTTGCCACAAAAATTTCATTTTGTTCCTCCCTCACGCTATTCAATGATTTTGCGCACAGACAGAATTAAAATTTTTTTTCCCTGATTTATTCTATGAAAAAAAATTCAAGATGAATTCAATTATAGAAAAAAAGATGTTTTTTGAAAGCAGAAAAGTGGTTTGAAACTTTGGGGTTTCTACGTATATTTTAAAAGTAGAATTAAAAACTAAAATTAAAGAAATTAATAAAAATAGCTTGAAACTTTGGTCTTTCTACGTAAATTTCAAAAATAAACTTAGTTTCTGTGGTGATCTTTCCTTGATTATTTTTGAGAGAAATTCAATTAAATTCCTAAAAAATTCAATTATTTTTTTATAGAATATAGAATTTTAGAATTTCAATTATTACTTTCAAAAATTTCAATTATTCTTAATAGAATTTTAGGACTTCGATTATTTTTTATTTTATTTATTTCTAAATTCAAATTATTCAAAATCTTTCAATTCATTGTTTACAAAAATTCAATTATTTCTTTAGAATTTTATAATTTCACTTATTTTATATTTTATTTAAATATTTATTTTGAAATTTCAATTATTTCAAAAATTTTAAATGCAGTGTTTATAAAAATTCAATTGTTTTTACAGTTTCTTCTAAATATTTTCAATTTTAAAATTAAAGCATTGAAAATCATTTAATTCTTGAAAAGAATGTTATCAAAATATTTAAAAATATTTGAATTCCTTCGAAAAATTTTATTGTATTTATCAAAATAATTGAATTCTCGAGAAGAATTTTATTAAAATCTTGGAAAATAATTGAATTCCTTCGAAAATTTTATTATTTATTAAAATAATTGAATTCTTACGAAGACTTTTATTAAAATTTTAAAAAATTCAAAATTAAAGTATTTTGAAGAATTGCTTTGACTTTTTTTTTAAAATAATTGTCTTTTTTTTGTAATTTTAATTGAAACTTTTGAAAGTAGAATTAAACAAAGAATTTTTTTCAACTTTTTAAAATAATCGTGTCTGTTTGAAATAATTTTGTCGAAAAATTAATTAAAAGTTTAAAAAAAATTGAAAAAAAAAAAAAAAAAAAAAATTGACTTGTTTCGAAGGATTTATTAAAATTTCAGAAAATAATTGAATTCTTGCAAAGATTTTATCATTAAAAAAATAATTGAATTGTTTCGAAGGATTTATTAAAATTTTACAAAATAATTCAATTCATTCGTGAAATTTTATTAAAATTTTGTTGATAATCAAAAATTTATATTTAAAAATGAAAAATTTTGTAATTTGCATAATAATAATAAATTGAATATCGGGTTTTACGCGAAACGTTTGCTAGTTGTTTATAAAATTCAATTACCTTTAAACTTAATGATCTTTTATGTTTCAAATTTTTTTTTGTAAATACTTTAGAATTTTCTATAAAATTCATGGAAATTCTACTTTGACTTTTTGTAAAATTCAATTATTTGCTAATTATTAATTTAAAATACTTGGAAAATTCGATTTTCTTAAAAATCTCTGAAGAAATTCTGTGAAAAATTTAATTATTTTCAATTCAATTTACTAAATTTTAATTAATTTACTAATTCATTAATACATTGTTTTTAAATATTCAATTATCTTTGAAAAACAGAATTAACAATTTTCAAAAAGCTGTTTTTTTCAGAATGTTAAATAAAATTATTTTAAAAAATAAATATTTAATTATCATTAATTTTGTTTTCTCATAAGAGAATTTTGTATTTTTACAATAATTGAAATTTTCAAAAGTTTTAGTATAAAATCTTTTGAAAAACTATTTCTTTTTCTGGAAATTGTGTGTAGTTTTAACTAAAGTCTTTTTTCTAATTCTAGAAAATTATTCTAGAATTTAATTATTTATATAATAAATTCAATTACTTATTTCAATAGAAAAACTCAATTAAATTTCATTGTTATTTTTAAGGAATAATCTGACAGACAGTCAAAACAAAAATTAGTCTAATCAGTTATAATTTCGTATTTTAACAGAAAAAGATTAATTGAATTATAAATTTGTTTTGGTAGGAAGGTTAATATTTTTATTTTCAACATTTTAAACAATTAAAAGTTGCGTATGAATAAAAATTAAAATTCTTTGTCAATAACAAATATTTATTATTGTTAACCTAAAGTTTATTTTACATAAATCATTTCTTAATTCTTATTGACAGAAAATTGTGATTTTTATTAATACAACTTCAAATTGTTAAAAATATTAAAAATTAAATTCTTGACGCTTTTACCAAAACAGTTGAAAAATTAAAATGATCTTTCTTTTAAAATACGAAATTATTACATTGGATTAACTTTTATTCCGATTGTTTCTCTGATTCTTCCTTAAGGAGAATTGAAAGATTTGTAAGTTTTTCAAAAATATACCCAAACACTAAAAATTATAATTTTTTTGTAATAATTCTAGAAATTTGTTTCCCCAAACTTTTTCTGATAATATTTCCTAAAATTTCCCTGGCAAATTTCATTTTCCTGTGACAACCCTGTAAAAACACACACAGTTCAAAAATCAAACGATATCAAAAACTAATATTTTCCTCACAGCTCAAAAAACATAATTTCGCTTTTCAAAAATTTGAAATTTCATCTTTAAAAATAAAAGCAAAATTTCTCATGTAGAAAATCGAAAATCAAGTTTTAATTGAAGAAGAAAGAGAACTATTGTTTGTTTAATTCAACTACGTTTAACTAACCTGAACTGCTTTGTTCTTCGTCTTGCATAATATTTATAATCTCACCTCCTTGCCCATCTTTATTAGACGCTAGGGAATCTTGAGGGAATTTGTTTTGATTGGCAGATATCGCTCCAAAGCTGCCAGCATCTTTATTTACAGTTTTACTTGGCGGGCAATATTTGTGTATTCCAGTTGCTACACTCTGCAAAAATCTCGTTGCATCTGTCGCCGCTGGTCCAACGAGAGCACGACATTTACCCTCAACTTTATCCCATGCACAATAGGGATCCTGTAGCGCGACACATTCACCACAAGAAAGAATTCTATCACTGTAACATCGATGTAATCTCAATGCTTGCACTTGACTGTCGGAAATAACAACAAGACGACCGTCCTCCAAGCCATCGCCGGCCTGCGTTGCGCGCACAACTTTTATTCCACGCACTGGAATTGTCATTGGAAATGCTTGAATCTCCTCAATCACAACTGGACTGACTTTTTGATGTGAGTCCGCAGACTCGGCATTTATTGCTTTTATCACTTTTCCATTATCGGTGCCAATAAACAAAACATCATAGGTTTTACCCCCAGGTGTTTTCACTTGTGGATCCACTGTGATTTGTGTGAATCTGTAACTGAAAGGGCAATTGCAATTTTATTTTTTCCATTTTTGTTCTTTTTAATAACGTGATCGTAAAATTTCTACAAAAAAAGAAAGGGGGAAATAAATGATTGCTTTTGACAAATTAGTACTTCGAATACATTTTTCCATTTTTAAACTTATTTCAAACACATTCGATTTAGAATATACAATCGAAATAAAATAAAAATATCAGGTCTCGGATTGACTTTAAGGAGCAAAAAAAAGTCAGTTTACTCAGTTTAGAGTAGAAAAAAAAGATGTTCCTAAGATTCGAACGTTCAAATGAATGACAATTTTTTTTTATATTTAATTGAAATTTGAATTTTATTAAACAAATATTTTTTTGTTAATTAAAGAAATTAATTCCTTCCTATAAAAATTTAATTTCTTTTCTATTTAATTTTTTAAAAATATAAATAGAAAAAAAATATTCTTTCATTTAAACGTTCAAAACTTTAGGAATATAAAAAAAAAGTCGAAAAAATGGTTTATTCAGGATTCTTATACTCTAAATTTAACTGATTTACAAAAAAATTAAAAATATTTTCCTTTATAAGAATAATAACTTTAATTCCAAATCTTCGTAAAATTGAATTATTTTCAAACATTTTCAAACATTTTTTTCAAATTTTTCTGCAAAAACAAATATTTTTAAAATTGTTATAAAATTCTTCAAAATATTAAATTTATTTCAATAAATTTGACGAAAATTGCAATTATTTGAAGAGTTTTCAACAAATATTATTTACGGGAATTCAATATCATAAAAAAATTTTTGTTAAAATTTCCCTAAAACCTAAGTTTTTTTTTAGAATTTCTAAACAAAATTATTCAAGTTTTCAATAATTTTGGTAAATAAATATTTAAATAGTATTTTTATTTATAATTTCCACAGGATTCAAATTTTTTTAAAAATTTAATTTCAAATCTTCTGAAAATATAATTAATTCGAAAAATTTCGATTGTAATTCTACAACAAATCAATTATTTTCTAGAATTTTTTAATAAACTTTTTCTCTAAATCAATTAATTTAAATAATTGAAATTTAGAAAAATGTTTTTAAATGACTGGATTTTATTTTAAGAATTTTTCAATTATTTAAGAAGCTAATCAATTTTTAGAAGAATTTTAATTGCAAATTTTAGAAATTATTTATTACTGCAACATTTTAATACCTAACTAAAAAAATGTTAATCTTTTAAAAAATTGTAATTATATTTTTCCGAAAATGATAATAAAATACTTTGAAAAAATCAATTATTTTCAAAACAATTTTATAAAATTTCAATTAGTTTAAATTAGAAACCTTCTGAAATTTAATTATTTCTATTTTCTGAATTTCTAATTTTTAGAATTTTTATTTACAATTTTTCTCTAAATTAATTATTTTTATTAATTTTTAAAAAAGTTCTTTGAGAATTCAAATATTCGAAGAAAAAAAAGAAAGTTTTCTTAAAATGCGAATAAAGTTCAATTGTTTTTAATATAATTTTAAGAAATTTCTAAAATTGTTTGAATTTTTTTCAAATTAATTATTTTCGAGAATTTAATTATCTTCGAAAAATTGCAATTACAATTTTTGGAAATTCAAATTATTTAAAAAATTTGCAATGAAAATTTTTAGAAATTCAAATTATTTAAAAAATTTACAGTTAAAATTCTCGATAATCTAATTTCCGAAAATAATAATAAAATACTTTGAAAAATCAATTATTTTCAAAACAATTTTATAAAATTTCAATTAGTTTAAATTAGAAACCTTCTGAAATTTAATTATTTCTATTTTCTGAATTTCCATTTTTTAGAATTTTTATTTACAATTTTTCTCTAAATTAATTATTTTTATTAATTTTTAAAAAAGTTCTTCGAGAAATCAAATATTCAAAGAAAAAAAAGAAAGTTTTCTTAAAATGCGAATAAAGTTCAATTGTTTTTAATATAATTTTAAGAAATTTCTATAATTGTTTGAATTTTTTTCAAATTAATTATTTTCGAGAATTTAATTATCTTCAAAAAATCTTAATTACAATTTTTTAAAAACCTCAATTTTTTCAGAATTTCTAAGTTAATTTATTCAAAACTTCTATAATTTTTGTTAATTTAGTATTTAAATACTTATTTGTTATTTATATTTGCACAGAAATTAAAATTTTTAGAACAGTGAATTTCAAATCTGTAATTTAATTTCGATAATTCAATTATTTTAAAAATTTGCAATTAAAATTCTTGAATAAGTAATTTCCAGAAATTTTAATGAACTAATTAAAAAAATCAATTGTTTTCAATAAAATTTTACAAAATTTTATTAATTTTCAAAAAAGTTCTTCGAGAATTTTATTAACAAAAAAAAAAAGAAAAAAAGAAAGTTGATTTAAAATACGTCTAAATTTCAATTATTTTCAATTTACGAAATTACAAAATTTCTAATTTTTTGAATATTTTAATTAATTGTTTTCGGGAAATCAGTTAATTTCCATTAAATACAATTTCTTAAAATATTTTAGAATTTCTAAATCAAATTATTTAAGAATTGAATAATTTTGTTAAATATTTAATTAGGTACTAATTGTTATTAATATTTATAAAAAGAATTAAATTTCCAAAAGAAATCAATTTCAACTTTTTGAAATTTAATTGTTTCTAAAAGTAAAAAGTTAAATTTGCAATTCTTCCATTTGATTTATTTTCTGGAATTTTCAACTAAAATAGTTCAAAGGTTTAATAATTTCTTAAAATTGTTAGTCTAATTTTTCCAAAATTCAATTATTTTCTAGAATTTTTAAATAAAAAATTTCTCAAAATCAATTATTTTTAACAATTTTAAGATATTTTTCCTCGAGAATTCAACGACAACAACAATTCAATTCTATTTTTTATTAAAATTTGAATGATTTTTTTTAAGTTTTTAAAATGAAAAAAAAACTCAGGACAATTTAAGTTTTTCAATATTTTCAAAGGATACCAAAATCCTGAATTACTGTAGCATTTCTAAAAATTTGACATTTTTCCATTATTTTGGATAAAGTTTTCTCACATTCCTGACTTATGGCCGAAATTTATAAAAATGTAAAAAAAGTCTAACTCAAAAATAAATTTTCGAAAAATGTTTAAAACTAAATTTAATGTTATAATAGTTAAATAGTTAAACAGTCAAACAGTTAAATAATAACTAAACTAAATCAATAAACCCTCTAAAAATTTAACTAATTTAAACTTCTCTCTAAAATCGAATACGAATTAAATTGCAAAATTAAGTTAATTTGTAAATATAGCAAAATAATTTGTATCAAAAGATATATTTAGACATTGACTAGAATAAATTATAGTTTCGAAAGACTAGAAATAATCTTCGTTTTCACAGTCTAATAATTTATTAATCAATAATCAAAGGATACATTAAATATTAATCAAAGGGTAAAACCTTTAAGCAAAAAGCTTTCGTCTTTCTACAAAATTCCTTTAATACATTAAAAAAGTTTTATCCTCTAATAAATGATTAATAAATAATTAGCCCAACAGCATTTTTAATCTTTCCAGACCAAAAAAATATTTTGCAAACAAATTTTTTTATTATCTCCCCCTCGCATTTCGAATTTAATTAAATACAAAATACTTACTGGAAATTTGTTCGAATGACGATGGGTTGTCCAAAGAAACTCGGGACTGATTCATCCATGAGCGAATGACTTTTTATAAAATTTAAAGTTAAATCAGGTAACGTGCGAGAGTCGTTGACACATTGACCCGGCCTTGGATCTGGAACCTTTGAGCTCTGCACAGGCAACCAATTTGAGTTAAGAGCACTTTGCTCTTTAAAATTACCTTCGAAGGTATCAGCAATATCTTGTAACGAGAAAGCACAAACGGCAGATCCACTTATACTATTAACAGGAGTTGTGAATGCGCCGTATATTAATTGTGCTGATACGCTGCCATATTGACCAGATATCAGTTCTGTTGTCGACTCTGCGAACAAAGAGGAGAAGCAATTTATTAATCATTATTTCCTTTCACTCTTCCCTTTTTTTTGACAAACAATAGAAAAAAAAGTATTTTCAAAGTCAATTTCAAACAAAACTTGCCATTACTGAGAAATAATTAAATACTTGGTACTTAAAAGTTAAATACTTCGTAGAGAAGAGATTTTTTTTATTCTTGTGGCTTATTGGCCACAAGAATAAAAAAATCTCTTCTCTATTATAAATGGCTAAAAACATACAAATCTATATTAATAATATAATCGTTGTATTCAGATAATCTGTTCGCAGATTGAAGTTAGTTGCTGTTTGCTTTTTTGTTTCATAACTTATTAAATAATTTTTCTTTTTAAATGTTTAAAATTTTTAAATTAATGTACTGAAAATCATTGAATTCTTGTAAAGTATTTATAAAAAAATATGAATATAATTGAATTCATTTCAAGAATTTTATCAACATTTTTTCAAATAATTTAATTCTTTCGTGATAATGTAATTCAAATTGTGTTGAAAATAATTTAATTCTTGGCAAGATTTTTATTAAAATACTTTAAAATAATTGAATTGTTTTGAAGAATTTATTTCAATATTCTTGAAAATAATCAAGTTTTTTTAAATAATTTTTACTGAAAATGTTGAAAATAATTGAATTCCTGAGAAGAATTTTATTATTTACAAAAATAATTGAATTATACAATTTATAAAAACAATTGAATTGTTTCATAGAATTTTTTAACAGAATTGTTGAAAATAATCGAATTTTCATTAAAACTCTTGAAAATAATTGAAACATTTTATTATTTATGAAAAAATTTGAATTCCTTTGAAGAATTTTATTATTTATGAAAATATTTTAATTTTTGCGATGAATTTTTTTATTTATGAAAATAATTGAATTCTTGAGGATGAATTTCTTATTTATAAAAATAATTGATTTCTTGAGGAGGATTTTACAATTCATAAAAATAATTGGAATGTTTCGAAGAACTTTATCTGAATTTTTTAAAATAATTGAATTTTTTGAAGGAATTTTATTAAAAATTTTGAAAATAATGATTTTTTTAAATTGTAATAATATTCTTCGCAGGAATTTAATAATTTCTAAAAATTCTTATTAAAATAATTCTTCCCAAGAGTTCAAATTTCTTTCAAAAATTTCTATAAAATTCTTGTCAAGAGTTTAATTATTTTTAAAATTCTTCGCAAGAATTCAATTATATTAAAAAATTTCAATAAAATTCTTGGCAAGAATTCGATTATTTTCATAAATAATAAAATTCTTCTAAAGGAATTCAATTAATTTCAATACAATTTTAACAAAATTCTTGGGAAGGATTTAATTATTTTCAAATGATTTGAATTTCATTAAAATTGGTCAAAAGAATTCAATTATTTTGACAATTTTTTTCAGAAATTCAATTATTTTCAAAAATTTTAACAAAATTGTTCATTGGAATTCAATTATTTTTGTGTATAAAAAAAATTCTTCGTCAATTTATGAAAATATTTTAATACTTGCGCAGAATTTTCTTATTTATGAAAATAATTAAATTCTTGCGAAGGATTTTACAATTCATAAAAATAATTGAATTGTTTCGAAGAATTTTTTTTGAATTTTTGAAAATAATTGAATTTTTTTGAAGGAATTTTATTAAAAATTTTGAAAATAATGATTTTTTAAAAAGAATTTTTTATCAAAATTGTTGAAAATAATTGAATTAATATTAAAATTCCTGAAAATAATCGAATTTAATTAATATTTTTAAAAATAATTGTATTTTTTCGAGAAATTTATTAAAATTGTATTGAAAATAATTAAATTGCTTTAAATAATTTTATTATTTATGAGAATATTGAAATTTTTACGAAAAATTATATTAAAATTTTTGAATAATAATAAACAAAAATATTTAATATTATGTTCTTAATAAGTTAATTCTTTAAATTATTAAATCTGTAATTATTTAAAAATTGATGACTATTCTTGAAAATATAAAATTTTTTAATTTGCAAAATAATATTTGAACGTTTAAATGAAGGCCGATAATTTTTTTACTACTTTTAATTTGTATTTTTCTATTAAATATTTTTCTATTTAATAAAATTAAAAATATATTAATAGGTATTTTTTAAATTATTTTTCTCTTAAAAAATATTCTTTTGTACATTCCTTTTTAAATTGAATATACATTAAATCTTAATTCAGTTTATCAAAAATATTCAAAGTGAACATAAAATTTCGTTCATTTGAACGTTCAAAATTTAAATAAAATAATATACTCACGTATTTCATTAAAATAAAATGGAAAATCGCCTGTTACTGAACAATTCAGGCGGGATTTTAAAAAACTCGTCCATCTATTTCGAAAACGATGAGGTCCCCCTCGATCATGTTTGCAAACTCTTGCAACGCGGGAGTAAACCGCCTGTAAAGAAAATTACAATCAGTATTCAAAAAAAATATTTCAAAAAGTAAATTACTTTCAAAACTAATTTTTTTTTTTATTTGTAAAAATATTTTTTTTAACTAATTTATCAATGTGGAGTCACTTACTTTCCCGCAATTTATGTATTCTACAGCTGTTTCTCTGAAGAAGAAATATACAAAGTCCCCTTGTGTCATAGAACTCACAAAATTTGGCGCTGAAAAAAGAGAAGAATTTAAATTAAAAAAAAAAAAATTCTCCACTCACTTCAAATCTATTCAAAATTATTTTGAATAGAAAAATTATTTGCCACAAAATTTCTATTTTAAAAAAAGAAGGAAAAAAATGTAATAAAACAAGAACAATCTAATTTCTCATTCTTATTATTTGCAATTTCTCCTCCGAAAATTATTTTCTTTCAAATGAATTAAAATTCCACTTTCAATTATTCAATGCTCAATATGCAAAACTATTCAAAGTCAAACTTTCTCAATTTAAAATCCTCAAACGTTTAAGTCAAAGTTGATTGGATATTCTTTTTTCAAATGTGCTTTTTTTAGTGCTTTGAAAAATTATTTACTGATAAAGAGAATTTTAGAAAATTGTGTGTGAATTATTTTAATATTACAATTTCAATTCAAAAAAAAAAATTGTTGAACAGAAGAGACTTTTTTGTAAAAAAAAACGAGTAAATTTTTCTACTTCTTTTAAATGTCAGAAAAAAAATTCAAAAAATAGTTTCTTTTGGTAAATTTTAAAATTAAAAGACTAAGCTACTCTTTCGCAGAATTTCATGAATTTTTAATAGCGGCAAAATTTTATTTTCTGGTTTTTAAGATTAAACATTATGTATTAACATTGAAAAGTGGAAAAAAGCTTAAATATTTCCGACATAGTTCAGTAGTTCGAGAAGTTTGAATTTTTATTTTATCGAATTTTACAAAGTAGACTCAATAGCGAACAGATATTTTATACTCTGAATTTTTCATTTAGGTGAATTTTTATTTATTAAAACTAAAGTTCATTTACAATTTTATTTATTCAACAGAATTTATATACCCTATTAAATTTGTTACGAAACATTTTTCAACTGGAAATTTTTATTAACTTCAAATTATAATAGAATTTCTAATAAACTAAATTTTAATCATCAGATTCTTTAGTTCCAGAAATTTTCATTTATCAGAATTTTCATCAAATGTATGTAATTTTATTTTGTAGAATTTTGCATTCACCAAATTTTCAAATTTTCTTTCTTTTAAATTAAAAAAAAATATCTAATTTCAAGCAAAATCGAAAATTTGACATTAAAAATTCGCTCGAACAGAAAATTTAATAATTAAAAATAATTGAATTTCAAAAATTTTAATAAAAAAATTCTCAGAATTACTTTTTTAAAATACTTTAATAGTAATTTTCTCAAGCTAATTTTCCTTAATTTCCATTTTCATATTTTTATTTGATGAATTTTCAATTAAAATTTTTAGAAATTCAAATTATTTAAAAATGTGCAAATAAAATTCTCGATAATTTAATTTCCAAAAATGATAATAAAATACTTTGAAAAATGAATTATTTATAAAAAAAAATTACAAAATTTCAATTTTGAAATTAGAAACCTTCTGAAATTTAATTGTTTCTACTTTCTGAATGTTTATTTGCTAGAATTTTTATTTACAATTTTTCTTTAAATCAATTATTTTTATTAATTTTCAAAAACGTTCTTCGAGAATTCAATTATTCAAAGAAAAAGAAAGAAAGTTTACTTAAAATGCGTGTAAAGTTTAATTGATTTTAATAAAATCTTAAGAAATTTCTAATATTGTTTGAATTTTTTTTCAAATTAATTATTTTCTAAAAAACTTAATTACAATTTTTTAAAAATCTCAATTTTTCAGAATTTCTCAGTTAAATTATTCAAAACTTCAATAATTTTTGTTAATTTAGTATTTAAATACTTATTTGTTATTTATGTTTCCGCAGAAATTGAAATTTTTAGAAAAGTGAATTTCAAATATGAAATTTAATTTTGATAATTCAATTATTTTAAAAATTTTCAATTAAAATTCTCGAAAATGTAATTTCCAGAAATGTTAATAAAATAATTTAAAAAAATCAATTGTTTGCAATAAAATTTTACAAAATTTGATTAATTTTCAAAACAGTTCTTCGAGAATTTTATTGTCAAAAAGAAAAAAAAAGAAAGTTGATTTAAAATACGTCTAAATTTCAATTGTTTTTATTTTTCAATTTAAGAAATTACAAATTACAAAGTTTCTAATGACTTGAATATTTTAATTAATTGTTTTCGGGAAATCAGTTAATTTCCATTAAATAGAATTTCTTGAAATATTTTAGAATTTCTAAATCAAATTATTCAAGAATTGAATAATTTCGTAAAATATTTAATTAGGTACTAATTGTTATTAATATTTACAAAAGAATTAAATTTAAAAAAGAAATCAATTTTAACTTTTCTGAAATTTAATTTATTGTTTCTATAAAGTTAAATTTGCAATTCTTTCAAAATTTGATTTTTTTTTTTATTATAGAATAATAAATTTTTGACTAATTATCAATCGAATACAAATTTTAAAAAAATAAAGAAGCAAAAGTATATTCTCATAATTTAAAATATAAATAATAAATTTCAGAATTTAAATAAAAATAATTTATATTTTTTTGTAGTAAAAAAATTTATAAAAAGAAAACTTTTAAAGAAATTTCAAAAAGAAAAACAATAAATTTCCCAAATTCCCTCAAATAGAAATTAAAAAAAAAACGAATTCGCAGAAAATGAAAATTCCCTATGACAATGCAATTTTTTTTGAGAAAATATTCATGCGTCTAAAAAATTGTTCCCACTTTTCAATCGTATGGTTCTAATTAAAAATGAAAAAAAGAAGAAAAGAACTAAAGTAGATAAATTTCTTTGAGAAAATTCTAGGCAATTATAATTAAAGAGTAATAATAATTGATGCTCACCATTGAGACTCATTGAATCATATTGTTCGGTTTGAAGGGGCTCTCTGTATATAATTGGATCCATTCCCGAAAAATCGGCAACAGTACCTGTGTAAAGTTCGCCATTCACGTAAACAAAAGTACTGTTATGCTGTGGATCATAGGGGCAGCGTGCTTGAGCAGGTTTCTCATTTTCCACAGAATAATTACCAACTTGAACAATGTAATCTCGACACATTGGTTTAAAGGCATTCGTTGCGCAAACCAATAAATTATTATTTCCCGTTTTCGCTAAAATACGAACATAATTTTGGCATTTCTCCTCGTCGCTACCCTTCATAACGCACATTTTAATGTCATCCTCCTTTGAGTACCACGTCAATCTTTGCTGTTCCGTGAGGTCTGTCAAGCTCAAATTATGCACCAGATTTCTATAACAAACAAAAACAAACAATATTCATTAATTATTAATTCATCTTCTTCTCTATTAATAATCATTTGCGGCATTAATAATCAATTTTTTAAATGTTTTCAATTTTTAAATTATAGTGTATTGAAAATAATTGAATTCTTGCGAAGAATTTTATTGAAATTTTTGAAAATCATAATTAAATTCTTTTGAAGGTCTTCTTTGAAATCGTTTAAAATAATGAAGTTTCTTAAATAATTTTGATTGAAAATTTTAATCGTGTAATTGAATTTTATGAAGAATTTCTTTCAAGTTTTTAAAATAATCGCATCTGTTAATAATTGAAATTAAACATTTGATTATTGAATTTTATTAAAACTTTTAGAAAATAATTAAATTCTTCTCAGAATTTTATTACAATTCTATAGAATAATTCAATTCATTCAAGAAATTTGATTAAATTTTAGAGTAAATAATTAAATTCTTTTGAAGAATCTTGAAGTTTTTTTTGAAAATAATGTAATTTTTTAAATAATTTTAATTGAAGTTTTTTAAAATATAATTAAACGAAAATGTTTTTAAAATAATCGTCTCTGATGTTAATAATTATAATTAAAAATTTGATTATTGAATTTGATTAAAATTGTATTGAAAATAATTGAATTCATGAGAAGAATTTTATTATTTATGAAAGTAATTGAATTCTTGCGAAGAATTTTATTGAAATTTTTGAAAATCTGTTTTAAATTCTCTTGTAGAATTTTATTTTGAATTTATTTAAAGTACAATGGAATTTCTTTAATTTAATTTCTATTAATAATTCTTAATAAGTGAATTATTTTTGTATTTTTGTATTTTAATATTATACGAATTTTATTTTTCTTTTTTCTTTTAATTTAACTTTGATTTATATTTTTAATTATAATAAATTACCCTTTGACATTTTTGTTCTTTTTATAGAGTCTAATCGAAAATGTAAATGATTTTAATAAATATTTAATTGACTCGATATTATGTATTTCTTTTTACCATCAGAGTTGATAGAAGAAATAAAATTTGTAATTCTCTTTAAAGTTAACATGAACAAAAAAGTAGTATTCTTAAAAAAGAAACTTAATTCTATCTTTTTTCTAAGGAAAAAAAAAATTGGAGGTTTCTAAGATATTCCCTTAGGGATTACACTCTGAGAAATAAAAGTTCTTATATTTTCATAGTCTACTTTTCATTTTAGGTGAACTGAGTCATCAAAAAGATTCTTTTGTATACAGCAAAATACGAAAGATTAGAACAAATGTTTTCTTTAGATGAAAAGTAACCACTGTAAAAGTTCTACATACATTTTTCATATTAAATTGAAAAAAAATTCTACTTTTGAAATGTAGTATTGAAATATTTTAATATTTAATAACAAAATTTATTATTATTTGTATATTATTACAATAGAAAATGTTACGCGTACAATTCGTAATTTATTATTATTATTATTATGCAAATTACAAATTTTTTTAGTTCTAAATATGTAACTTCAATTTTTTTTTTAATAATTTTGAATCAAAATTGAAAAAAATTCACTAAATTATACAATTAATAACTAATAAATTATTATTCTTTATTATTTTCTAATTTTTTAACATTTTAAAAAAATTCTTCAAAATAGGTCATTCATTTATTTACAAATATTTTAATAGAATTTTAGTAAAGAATGAAATTATTTTCATAAATAATAAAATTATTTGTAGAAATCAACTAATTTTAAAAATTTTAATAAATTTCTTTTAAAAAAATTTAATTATTTTCAAGAATTTAGTTAAAATTCTCTATAAAAATTCAATTATTTTCAATACAATTCTAATTGAATTCCATGAAAGAATTTAATTATTTTCAAACATTGTAATAAAATTATAATTGTTTTTTCCAAACAATTCAATTATTTTGAAAAATTTTTAATAAAATTCTTGACAAAAAATCAATTATTTTCGTAAATAATGAATTGAATACAGAAAATTAAATTATTTTTAAAAATTTTGAAAAAATTCTTTATAAGAATTCAATTATTTCAGGAAATAATAAAATTCTTCACAGAAATTCAATTATTTTCAATACAATTTTAACAAAATTTCTCTAAAGAAGCTATTTTAAAAATTTTTAACGAAATTCTTCAAAAGAAATTCAATTATTTTCAGAAATAATTAAATTATTTTCGAGAATTTAATGTTTTCAATAGAATTTTTTTGAAATACAATTTTACAAAAATTTCTCAAGAGAATTTAAATACTTAAAAATTTTTTTTGAATTTTTTGCAGTAATTCAATTATTTCAAAAATTTTATTAAAATTCTTAAAAAGAATTCAAATATTTTCAATAAAATTTTAACCGATTTTAACTAAATTTCTCGAAAGGATTTTTATACATATCGAAACAATTAAATTAATTTCAAAAATGTTAATAAAAATCTTGTCAAAATTTCAATTATTTTCATAAATTTATTTAATGTATTTTAATAAAATTCTTCGAAACAATTTATTTATTTTAAACGATTTCAGAAATTTTATTTAAATTCTCAAGAATTCAATTATTTTTAATACAATTTTAATCAAATTTGACAAAAAATATGCAAGAATCCAATTATTTTCATACTATAATAAAATTCTTGCCAGGAATTCAATTATTTTATAAAAATTAAAAAAAAATTCTATATAAGAATTGAATTATTTTCAATACAATTTTAATTAAATTTAAATGGAAAAAAATTTGCAAGAATTGAATTACTTTTTTAAAAAACAAAATTCTTCACTGGAATTCAATTATTTTCAATACAATTATAATAAAATTACTCGAAAGAATGCAATTATTTTGAAAAATGTTAATAAAATTTTTAAAAAAACTTGAATTATTTTCAAAATTTGTAATTTCTTTGTATTTTATTCCTTATTTTGAAAAGAAACCACTTTTTTTTACAATTTTCATAAAATTTATCAAAAGAATTCAACTATTTTTTAAAAATGAAATTTTTCCAGAAATTAAATTTAAAAATTTTAATGAAGCTCTTCAAAACAATTCAAATATTTATAATAATTTCAATAAAATTTCTCTAATAGAATTCAATTAGTTTCAAAAATTTAATTCTTCGAAAGAATTAAATTATTTAGAAAATTTAATTATTCGAAAGAATTCAATTATTTAAAAAACTTTAAATAATATTCTTCAAAAGAATTCAATTATTTTAAAAATTTGTAATTTTTTTAAATTTTATTTCTTATTTTAAAAATAAACAATTTTTTTGGAATTTTAATAAAAACATTTTCTAAAGAATTCAAGTAGTTACTTTTAAAATTTGTAATAAAATTTTTTCAGAAATTCAATTATGTTCAATAATTTCAATGAATCTCTTCAAAACAATTCAAAAACTTCTAAAAATTTTAGTATAATTTTTCTGATGGAATTTAAATAGTTTCAAAAATTTAATTCTTCGAAAGAATTAAATTATTTAGGTAATTTTAAATAATATTCTTCAAAAGAATCCAATTATTTTGAGAAATGTTCATAAAATTCTCTATAAGAATTCAATAATTTCCAAAAATTTGTAATTACTAAAATTTTATTTTAGTTAGTTTTATTTATTTATTTATTAAATCTTTTTAACAAATCTTTTCTATTTAACACTAGCAGTATTTTCATTATTTTTATTTTTTTAGTGTTTTATGATAAAAATTGTCCTCTAATTAATCAACAAAAATCTAATTTAATTTAATGGACAAAAATTAAACAAAAAAAAATTTTTTTTTACAAAATTTTTTCAAAATAGAAAGAAAATTATAGAAATATTAATACAACTATTATACTTGAAAAGTAAAAAGCAAACTATGAATCATGTCAAAGAATTCAATTTACCTTCCACCGACTAGAAGATAATTTTCATCTCTCAGCACCAGTCGGAAGTAATCTGTATGTGTCTCGTTTCCTGTGAACCTGAATACATCTTCTGCACCTGAAAACAAAGTAATACTTAAGATTCTTTCTTTTTTCTTTTCATTTCGTTTCATTTCTTTCTTTCTTTCTTTTTTTTATTATTATTTTTGAAAGAGAGATATAATGGCAGAGGTTTCAAACTTTCACATCGTTTTACTTTTTTTTTATTTTTTTTCTCCCCCTTTATTTTTCTTTTATCAGGACACTTTTTTCCCCTACTTTTCTTAGCCTAAAGCTACTTAAAGTTACTTTTTCTTGTTAAAGACAACTTTCTTGATACTTTCCCATCTTCAATGTTTTCACTTTGCTTTGTTCTCTTCTTTTCTCTTTTTTTTCAATAAAAAACAAAATTTAATTATAATTAATTTCGACAAAAAAAAATGAATGTTCATTGTATTTAGTTTCAAAAAATATACTCTTGATTAGATAATTTATTATTTTCTTTCTCTATTTATATAAAAAGTTGAGAATTTTTTTTTTTATTTACAATATCAAAATGAAGGAGAGAAAAAAATAGAAACAACGATTTTGTATTTTTTATTTTTCAATTAAATTTTCCAATATTCATAACAACATTTATAATTAACAGAGTTAAGAGCTTAATTGAAATTCATATTTTAAAACTAGAGGAATATTTTTCTTTCGCTATAGAAATAATTGAAGTAAAAAAAATATTTTTCGAAAATTATTCAATCGGGGATTTTTTTTTACACAAAAATTTGAAGCAAAATTAATTTCCATACAGAAAAAATTGTAGTTTTTGTTAATAAATTATTAAATTGTGATGAAGAAATGTTGAACCTACAAATTTTTTTCGACAAAAATTTGAGGCAAAAATAATTTTCAAGCATAGAAAACTATTTTTTCTTTTTAATTGTTGGTTAGAAAAATATTGTGAAAATTATTTTTTAAAGGAAAATTGAAAGCAAAAATAATTGTTATACAGAAAAAAATAGTACCTCTTGTTTATAAATATTTCTTTTTTAATTATTCATCGATATATTGCAAAAATTTTTATCAGAAAATATTTGAAGAAAAAAATCATTTTTCCAAAGAAAATAATATTTGTTGTTTAAGCATTTTTTTTTAAATTTTTGATTAAAAAATATTGTAAAAATAATTTTTTAACAAAGCTTTGAAGAAAAAATAATTTTTACACAGAAAGGAAATATTGTAAAAAGTTTTTTTCCAACAAAACTTTGCAGAATTTTTTTTTTTTTTTTTGAAATCGTTGATTATAAACTTTGTAAAAACTTCATGGCAACAAATTATTTATATATATAGTTTGTGTATCGATAATAGAACTCACTCATTAAACTTATTTTTAAACATCTATATATTGATTATAACTTAATTTAATTCTATCTATATATTTCACATTCTTTTCTTTTTAAAATCCACGTTATTTTTACTTCTATTTTTATGTAATAAATTTTCTCCTCTTTTTCCCTGTATTTTTCGAATTACATTCACCTAAGAAAACTTTTAAGAAACATGTGGTAAGGAAGTACTAATTTTCCCTTCTCCTTAACAGGAAAAGCGTCTATTTTTCTCTCTTGAAAGAAACATTTGACACCTATATTTAGCTCTTTAAAACTAACAGATTTCTCTTGAAAATTTATTCAACTGACTTTTTTCAATTCCTATATATAAATTTATTTATACTTTAGCCGGTTTTTTTTATCTCTTTGTATAGAAAAACAAAATAAAAAAAAATTCTTTTTATAATTATATCACATCGAGTATAGACAAATTAATTAAAATCCATCAATTTCCAACCATTTATTAATTAACTTTTATATATGAATTCAATACCATGTGTCGATATTATTTTAACTTTAAAATATAATATGAAAAAGAAAAGGGAAAAAATAATGTACATATTGAAATATCATCTTTTAACAATAATAAATAGATATATAACAATAATAACTGAAAATGAATGTGTCGATATTTTACTACTTTTGTTAATTACAAATTGAAACATAATTAATATATACGTAAATAATTAATATTAAATTTCAGTTTTGTAATCATTATTATTTTTCCACAGGAATTAAGATTTTCAAGAATTTTAAATCCAAACCTTTTTGAAATTTAGCAATTTATATAAATATTATTACAAAACATGAAGACATCGAGACATCGATTTCTTTATTTTTTATAATATTTATAATTAAAAATAACCGAGTGATAAAACCATTATTATATATTATATAAGAAAATTTAAATTTATACCTTTTAATTCTTTAAAATTATTTCCATCATTTCAATTCAATTATTATTTTCCATAATTTTTAAATAAAATTCTTCTTTAAATCAATTATTTTTAAAACATTTTCAAAAAGTTCCATTTGTTTACAATTCAATTTTACGAAATTTCATCGATTATTCGAAAATTCTTCAATTGTATTTTAGAAAATAAAAACTTGAATTGAATTTATTGAATTTCAAAAGAAATTCAATTAAAGTTTTTCAAAAAAAAATTAATTCTATCAGAATTGTTAGTTAAAAATATGAAAAATTCATATTTTCAAAGATTTTAATTTGAAATCTTTACAAAATTCAATTATTTCTAAAAATTCAATTATTATCTAAAATTATAACTGAAATTCATTTTTAAATCAATTTTTATTAGAAAATTCGACGAGAATTCAATTATTTAAATATAAAAATAAATGATTTATTAATTCATTGAATGTTTCTTGAAATTGAATTCTCATGCAGAAGTTCACGAAAAAATTTGCAAACAATTGAATTCTTTTGACGAATTCTAGTAAAATTTTTAAGAATAATTAAATTTTTCGAGGAATTCGATTAAAATTGTATTAAAAATAATTGACATTCAATTATTTTCAAAAATATTTTTAAAAAAATTCTATAGAAGAATTGAATTATCTTCCTAAATAATAAAATTCTTCACTGGATTTCAATTATTTTCAATACAATTTTAATAAAATTTCTCGAAAAATTTCAATTATTTTTAAAAATTTTAATAAAATTCCTCTAAAGAATTTATTTATTTTCAAAAATTTTAATATAATTCTTCAAGAGAATTCAATTATATATTTTGAAAAAGTAACTAAAATTTTTATACGAATTCAATTATTTTCAAATTTTGTAACTTTTTTTTGTATTTTATTTCTTCTTTTGAAAAGAGCACATTTTTTTACAATTTTAATAAAATTTTTTTTTAAGTATTCTATTTTTAAAATTTGTAATAAAATTTTTCAGAAATTCAATTATTTTCCAACATTTAAATGAAACTGTTCAAAACAATTTAATTTGTATTTCTAAAAATTTCAGTAAAATCCCGCTGTACAAAATTTTATTATTTTTGAAAATAATTGAATTATTGCGAAGAATTTACTTAAATTTTTAGAAAATAATTGAATTCTTGTTAAGAGTTTTATTAAACTTTCTGAAAATAATTGAAATTTTGCTAAGAATTTTATTAAAATGTTTGAAAATAATTGAATTTTTATTTATTTATCTTACTTAAAGTTTGAAAAATTTTATAAAAATTGTTTTAAAAATAATTAAATTGCCCTGAAGAATTTTATTATATTTATGAAAATAATTGAATTCTTGTAAAGAATTTAATTAAAATTTTAGAAAATAAATTGAATTCTTGTGAAGAATTTTATTAAAATTTTTGAAAATAATTGAATTCTTGTGAAGAATTTTATTAAAATTTCTGAAAATAATTTAATTTTTGCGAAGAATTTTATTATACTTTTGAAAATAATTGAATTTCTGCAATCATTTGTAACTTCTCCAAGTTTCAATTTTTTTTTAAGTGTTTTTAACTAAAATTCTTCTATAGGTCCATTATTTTTAATAAATAATTAAAATTCAATTTATTTTGAAATATTTCAGTAAAATTATTCATTAAATAATTTATAAGTAATAATTTTATGATAATTTTTTGAGAATTAATTTATTTTAAAAAGAAATTATTGTCAAAAATAGAAGAAATTGAAGGTTTTGTATTAGAATTCGTGGTAATTTGATAGTTTATGATTTAAATAAAAATGAGACAAAAATTCAGAATTTTCTTATGAATTATAAAAATTTAATTTTTTTCAGTACTTTTAATAAAAATCTCTGACTTTTTCCTAATTTTCCTGACCAATTCTAATTTCCTTGTATTTTTCCCTTAATTTTTATATTACAACTTAAGAATTTAGGTATTTTCTAAAACTATTTAAATTTATTTAAAAAAATGTTGTTACTTTTCCAATAAAATTAAAATAGTCAATTACTTAATTCTTAATATAGTTAAAAAAAGAATTCAACTGTTAAAGTTCTACTCGTACATATATCTATGATATTCCGATGAAAATATATAGAAACATTCAGAGAAGAACTCTCTAAATAGACTATAAACGCTAATGACATTTAATTAACTTATCTAAATTTAAATTCGAATAAAAGGTCAAAAGAAGAAATTGTTTACTTGGAGAGCAATCCCAGTTATTTTGATTCGAGAGAAAATAATTACAGACATATAAATAAACATTTCAAACAAAGTTAATTGGATTTACTTTGTATTATTTAATAAAGTGAATAAAGAATAAAGAAAAGCGAAGAGAGAAAAAAAAGGAAAAGGGTCAGAATTCGTAAAATTTTCACAGAAAATAAAAAGTATTTTTTTTTTAAATCGAAATGTTAAAAAAACATTTCTATTTGGCCTAAGAAATGTGTCCACCAAAGAACAGAAAATTTTTTTTTTTTATAAACAATTAATTTTTTTAATGTAATGCGCCTATTAAAATTTAAAACAAATATCAACTTACAATTTAAACTATAAGAAATCAAAATCCGTTGAGAAAATTTAGGAGTCACAATTATAATTGTCGCTCAGGATTTTTATTTTCAGAAACTTTAATAAAATTCTTCAAAAGAATTCAATTATTTTCAAAAATTTTAATAAAATTCTTCACAAGAATTCAATTATTTATAAAATTTTCTAATTAAATTCTTCTTAAGAATTCAATTATTTTCATAAATAATAAA